CCCCCACCCCGCACCACACGCCGTGGGATGTTCAAAAGAAAGGGGGATATTTGATTTTGTGGAGATTAGGCACTGCCAAACAGTCTGCAACTCCTCACCGAATCAGGGCCCCAGTGTCATCAGGACACTTCACACACATTTGTTGGAAAGCTACACAATCTCAATCAAGTTCAGTCTTAATAAGTTCTAAGATAAAACTAGATGATATAAGATAATTATTGATATCTATACTTACAAAGGCCCCCTTTCCTCTGTCCTGTCTGGACGACATTTTGTTTTATCTTCTTCTAGCTCTTGCAAAAATATTTATCATCGTATGAGACAAGGGCTGGAACATTGTAAATTGTTGACAGAAATTTTAGTAACTATCCAAATAAACATGAAAATCAATACAAGTATTGTACACGGCAACAATTACATATTCAAAACAAGTAAAAAGATATCAATGAAAGAAGATGTGCTAATGAAATCCCTAACCAAACTTTAAGAAAATGGAATAGCAACTTAAGATTAAAACCAAAATAAAGCATTTCAAATTAATGAAGATAGAGAAATAAAGTGGTCTTGCAAATTGTCAGATGATAAACAGAACTGGGTGACTGACAGCAACAGGTGTCACAGATCAAAACACAACACAGTATGTCATTCTTAATCCATTCACATTAAGCACCAAAGTAATAGGATTGAATAACACTGAAGAAAACTATTAATTGAACCTTACAACAGCACATAGTGTATGACAATTGATGATACAATTGTGACAAGATATATGACAGAAAGCAAAGGCAATATAACTGTAAACAACTATGAAGCAAAGAGCAATATTTCTTTAACTCTTAAAATAAGGTTTATGTACTAGGGAAACAGGTATAATATATACCTATAATACTCCTGAAAACTAAGGAAAATTCTTGAGGATTTTAAAATAGGTTAATATACATTACCTACATACCCAATACATAACCTTCATAGTTGCCAGTTGCCATCTTTACATTTCGGAGCTATTCGTAAAAGATTGCAAATGCTAATGAAGCAATGGAATTGGCTACAAAAGCACAGAAAATAGCAAAACTTTGTCACCGACACGTAAAATTCCTCAAGTACTCCTTATCGAACTGGTATGCTAATAACATTACACACCTTGAAGTACGAATAGTTGTAGATAGAAGCCAAGCAAAACGTAACGAACTTTTAGAACTTGCGAATCAGTCTTCGTGGCAAATAAGGCATATGGGAGTCTTCAGAAGACTATGGAATTATGCAAAAAGGTTCGAAAGTAATGGAAAGACAGAGATTTGTTGAAAAACACAGAAGATTGTCTTTGACGTTGACGTGCAACTGGCGCATAATGTTTTGCAGTTGGCACGATAACAAGCTCAAGCAAAAGATGAAAAATTTAGATTTGAGTTCTGCACGCAGCTTGTTGTTGTTGTTGTTGTTATGACATGATACTTAACTTTAGAAGGCTGAGAGAGGATTCTGCTGCTGAATTTGTACTCTTAAAAAGACAAAATAACCGGTGTTGTAAGGTCTGTGACTATTTCAGCATTTTGTCAAATGTTCAAAGTCGGTCTCTTATTTCAGTTTCTCTCTAATGTCTATGTTGTCAAGGCAGTGAATACTTGTTTTTGAATATTTTTAGTGCATTTAGTGTGTTTTGAAGGTTAATGCCTTTCACTCTGTCAGTTTGATTTTATAACAGTACTTGTTCTAGTTCCTTTTTGGCGTTTGTTAAACATGCATGTGGGACTCTCACATTGTTTGTAGCGTCATTGGTAGAGCCTTGCATATTGTTTCATTTGAAAATTCATCTTTACTTACTATATTCCAACACTCTTTCTCTGTCTTTCAGATGAAGAATCTCCTTATACGTCCCATTGGGGTAGCCCATAACATATGTAGTGCACACATAGCTGTGAAACCACTTACTTGTTCAATGTCAAGCTTTGCCAATTCAGACGCATCTCAAACATCTTCAGCCCCTGCACTTGCCCCACAGGCTTCTCCGTTAGCTACACTGACAGTGTCAGGAAAACAATTTGAAAGGGTAGGTAGATATTTAGCTGCTTTTTTCATCAAAATTATTGAACCCTTTAAGTGTTGTCTTCAATCCTTTCTTATTACAGGACTCTTATACAAACATCACAGATGGCATCATAAAACATATGTCCAGAAAGCTTCATCAGCAGAAGGGTCATCCCCTTTATTTAATAAAAGAGTGTATCAAAAGTTATTTTTACAAAAAGTATATTGGGCGCACCGGCAACCCTGTTTTTTCAGTTTATGATAATCAGGATCCTATTGTCACCACCTACCAAAATTTTGACTCTTTACTTGTTCCCCGAAACCATGTCAGCCGCCAGTAAGTAATTTTTACGTTTTGAACGTATTGAACTTCTACAATTACCCTCAGCCCTTTTCTTTAAATAACTTTTATTTGCTTTTAGGAAGAGTGATTCCTACTATCTCAATTCGCAGTATATGTTGCGAGCTCATACAACAGCTCATCAATCTGACCTCATCTCATCTGGACTGGACAATTTTCTCATAATAGGTGATGTTTATCGACGTGATACTGTGGATTCAACCCACTATCCTGTGTTCCATCAATGTGATGCTGTGAGACTACAGACACAGCATGAGGTATGTATAATTTAAATGATTTTATGGAAGACGTGAATCTATGACGGGCTATAATTTTAACATTCTTCTACCTTTATGATATCTATTATACAGCTGTTTCCAGAGGAATATGGCCTTCATGTTTTTGAGAAGCGTCCAGATAGAAGAACAGATGATAAGCAGGCAGAGCACACTGTTGATGCTGTTAGGATACTTTCATTTCAATTAAAATCTACTCTCCAGGATTTAGCAAAGGCTCTTTTTGGTGCAGGTAACAATTATTTTCAAGTATTTGAACTGGTTTTCAAGGATCAGAATCTACAAATTTCAATTTGAATAGAGTGGTAAAGCACTATGTTGTTTGGTCATAGATGTGGAATACCGTTGGGTAGAAGCTTATTTTCCTTTCACTCACCCTTCATGGGAGTTGGAAATTAAGCACAATGGAGAGTGGCTGGAACTTCTTGGGTGTGGTATTATGGAACATACAATTGTTAAGAAAGGTATGTTTTCTTAAAAGAGAAAATATTTGTTATTTTTTTGTAGACTTGTGATCATGGTTAAAATTTTAAAACACAGCTGGTGCCGGTGACAGAATTGGTTGGGCTTTTGGTCTTGGCCTTGAAAGGGTGGCGATGCGAGTATACGATATTCCAGATATTCGCCTCTTTTGGAGTACTGATTCTGCTTTCTTGAACCAATTTGCAGTAGATGATCCTTTCACTCCAATCAAGTATAAGGTATGTGTATATGAGCTTGCAATGTTTATGGTTTTAATACATCCTCTTATGGTAAACTCAATAGAATTCATACAACTTTTCCATGTAGGCAGTTAGTGTGTACCCCAGATGTATCAACGACATCAGTTTTTGGATCCCACCTGAACGAGATTTTAGTCAGAATGACTTCTTCGATGTTGTTCGCTCTGTTGGGGGAGACATAATAGAAGAGGTGGTGTAGAATGCTTTTTAATTCTGTTCCTTTTGAAATTATTGATATTTTACTAATCAATGTACATTTTTATTGTCAGGTTTCACTTGTTGATCAATTTGTACACCCCAAAAAGAAATTGACAAGCCACTGTTATCGGATCACATACAGACACATGGAACGAACATTAACAAAAAATGAGGTCAATGAGGTGCATGTAGAAATTGGCCGTAGGGCAACTGAAATGTTAGGTATTACTGTTCGAGTAAAATAATTTTATAGTTAGCAAGCAGCAATTGTTCAAAAATTAAAACATAAAATAATAAATATGTTGAAAAGTTATTTTATTGAGCAAGTTAAATAGTTACAGGTAACAGTGAGCACTGTAAAAAGAAAAAAATGGTTGTAGGAACTGGACATGAACTTAAAAACTTTTTATGGGCTTCATTGTCCTCCACTGTTACTTAATATTATATGGAGGCTACAAACAGTGAAAAGGTTACACTAATTTAAAACAAATATTGAAACCTTGAAATAAATGCCAATTAATTTCAAATAGAACTTCTGTCAGTCTTTGCTCAAGCCAAACAACCTCATTCCATCAAAGTTAACAAATGTTACAAAACATGCCATTCTGATTTCTGGTTGTCAGAAATGAACAATAAGGAAGCCTGACCTTGGTGGGAGATCTTTACACAATAGTTTTATGTATTTCCAAGATTTTTAGGTTGTTTATTAAACACTGGCTTTAAAATTTTATCACAGTCATGTAAGGCATATTACACTTGAAAAATGCAATCTCACATGGGATTTCTTATAAAATACTCTACATTGTACATGTATGTACCTTGATTTCATTTCATAATACAACATATAGGATGTAAGACAGCTGCCCAGAGCTGGTTTAAAAAGTGATAAAGAAAACAATGTACAAACTCACAAAAAGCAAACACGATGAAGTCAAAGCTCAATATCAAGGTACCGTTCACCATTCATAAATCTGCAAAGTCAGTGTTACTGCTGACGCTTTTGTGTGTTTCAAAGAATTTGCTGATAATTTTCTGTACACCAACCACATCTGAAATCAAATGAATAAATAATTCAATTAGTAATGAAATAAAAGACAAGAGGGTTTATTTCTTTACTGTAAATATTTCATTTTTTTTAATCAAGAGGGAAAATATTACCAGTGCTTTTGGTAAGCTTTGACACATGTTGTGATAAGGCACGAGCTAGGGCTTTAAATAAATCTCTGGTTGTGATTCTCTTTTTCTTATAATAAGGCATAAGTAGTTTCACAACCAACTCCGCCATGCGCTTTAACTCCACATCATTTTCAGAGGGTTTCTTAGATTTGCTTTTTACATTGGCTCTTTTATCAACACTCCCTCTTTTGGGGACTACTTCTGGTTTAGTCATTTTCTTCTGAAGCTTTTCTTTGTCATCTTCATCACTGTCTCCAAATAACAGGTCAAGTTTTCTTTTTTTTTCCTTAATGTTTGATTGTTCTACATCTCCGTCATCTCGTGAAAATTTTTCAGGCTGATCTGGATTTTTAGGCTCAGACTCTTCTATATCGTCTGAGGAATTTTTGTTCCACAAATCCAAAAGAGTACATGGTGCACTTGAAGGAGTTTCATCCTTCTTGTTCAACTTCTCAAAATATGAAACTCTCCTCTTTCTTAAAAGATCTATTTGTTGGCAAGCATTAGTTGATATTTTCTGAACATCTGATTCAGATTCATTATTTATCAAGTCTCCATTGACTCCAAATGATGAATTACTGTGGTCACTATTTGGTACAATGAGCTTTCCTTCATTTGATTCTCCTGATGCTTCCTCGATGCAGGATTCTGGTGTGTCATCACAGTCTATTACAAGGGATGCACTTTTGCCATCACTATTATGGAAATTTGTTGGATCATCATCATCACTTTCTGATGAGCTAATTGTATCCTGTGTTTGCCGTTGAGGTTTCTTTTCAAAAAATGAAGCCACAGATGTCTGTTGTAACATGTCTTTTTGTACTGAAAATTTCTTTTTCTTTGGGAGGCTGGGTTGAGATTTCTCACTGGTATTAGATTCACTCTTGCTCGTTGTGGAGGAAGTTTCATATTGGGCTATAAGCTGTGATGCTGTCATGAAACCTCCACATTTTTTTTCTTCTTCCATGCTACTCTTGATTTCATTGACTATTTGGGAAAGAGAATTAGCTCCATTGGAATTTTGAACCATTGCACTATTTCGCTCAAATTTGTGTAAGCTCTCATGGAGTTTCATTAGCTCTGCACTTTTCTTTATAGAAGCAATCTAGGTTCAGACAAAACAAAATATTAATTCAAACTCTTAAGATTTAAGGCACAAACTTAGTACAAAAGTTAAAGAAAAAATATTTATGTACCTCTTTTACAATAGCTCTTTTGTAGAGACTAATAACTTTATTAGCAGTAAAAGCTTGGTACTCTATCTGTTGAGCACACATTTCAACATCCTCTTTACTTAGACTTTGATCTGGAGGATCAATTTCCCCACACTTTCTCAAATTCTTTGTAAGTTCTCCCTCTACTAGAGTCATGTAGCTCTCCCTTACCTGAAAACAAATGTAATATGATCACACAGTAATGGATATGAGGCACATCACAAAAAGGATGCACTGAAAATTGACTATCACACAGATTCTCCTCACCACTACACTTAAGCCGGTTATCTTCCTGCCAGTGTTCTGTGCAGAGAGCACTCGAGAGCTTTTAGCTAAAGCCTCTACATTTTCTTCAGACCAATGACTGCTAACATGATTTGATCTTCGAAGAGCAAACTGTTTCTGAATGAGGGAATTCCTTGCCTTCTTCTCCTTATCCTTAAGATGGGAGTCGTCACCACTATTGTCATCATCATAATACGTACTTTCACTGAAATTAAAAAAAAATATTATTAGGGGTAACAGGGATCTTTATACATTAAATATTCTACATTGTTACACACTGATTAACATACCTCTTACTTCCCGATCTTCCACCACCATAAAGATCTGATGAATCTTCACCCATTACAGAGAATGTTAGTTTAGACCCTAAGTTAGATATGAATTCTTCAATCATTTTCTCAACAGAATTTTTATCATGACACACATCACAGACTTTTAATGTTTTACATGCTGGTGGATCATCTCCAAAATAATCTGCAAAAACTGAGTGGCGACATCTGATGGAAAGAAGGTGGTGTGACAGTTTTTAATATTTACTAAAGGTGCAATGAGAGACATTTCAAGAGATCATCTTACTTTGCTTCTTGGCAATAATTTATAATTCTTTCAAAGCTCTTATATGTTGCTTTAGCTTGTTCCTTTTTCGCCTCTGTTTTAGCATGGCTTACTTCCTTACGCAATAAGAAATCAACTGCATTTCTTTCCTGCTTTGAGTAGTAAATTCGGCAACGGGACATCTTGCCATCTCTACCAGCTCTTCCAGATTCCTGATAATATCCGGCTATGCTTTGAGGAACACCCCAATGTGCAACTAGCCTGCAAATTCAAAGTGTTTTCACCCTTTATAAACTTGACAGCAAAAAAGCAACAAGGTTGTCTACGACAACAAAAATGAAACAATCCTACCTCACAGAACCTTTATCTACACCCATTCCAAAACTGACAGTAGCACTTATTACTGGATATACTCCTTTCATCCAATCTTCTTGAACCCTTACTCGATCTCTATCACTCAAGCCTCCATGAAACAAG